GCGTATACAATATTATCTAACGTAAGCTATTAGTTCACATTCTATAATAAAATTTTGATCATAAATTTTGTGCACAGTACTTGCAGCATCGCATTGATTAGTAATACAATTTTTGCATAAAAAAGTTACAAAATATTTAAATTTCTCACTAACATCGTGAATATATAGTTCGTAGTATACATGTTCGACGTAATGTTCGAGTTTAAATGAAAAGTTTACACGAAAAGCATGGTTTTTGGCTTCATGTGCAAGCATGTACCATACAATGATATTTTTACATCATATTCATTACCAATTTTAACAAGTTCCACAATTAAATCTTGAATCATTAGAAAGGAGGAAACAGTTGATTGCACTAATCGTTCAACATTTGCACATCTCTCGATGAACGCCTTCCATGTTGTATGAAGCAAGATTATGCGATTGCCTCGATTATCGCCAATCACAATTTTTACATACGACATAAGTCCCACGCTGATTCCAATGTCTAGATATTTATAAGATGTCAATGCGAATCTCCTACTCAAAACATAAGGTGTATGACAAGATGTCGAAGATGTATGAGAAGGTGTGCTGTTAAAGAAAGAAGAATACAGGTAAGTAGAAAAAATGTATAACATATACCAAAAATGTGTAAAAAAAATTATATAATTGAACATAAACTTACTATTCCTGACATGTTTCACCTTCCGTAAATTGGAATGTAGTAGTTCATCTTTTCGCTGTATATTTTCAAGAACTTTTTGCTATTCGATTTCCTCTGAGCGACTGATGCGGTAATGTTACCCGGACTCTTCTTTTAAACAGTATTCCCTTTTACTTATTTTTATGCATTCCAAAAATAGAGATTTTTGTTCATATCAAGCCTACGTTAAACTATGCAATGACACAGGTCATAAGAATGCACTCTGACGATATGGAACTTTTTTTTATCCATGGGATCGGCGCCGACAACAACAATAAAGTCTATCTGTTCCCATTTTCTTTTCAAAAATGCATTTTGGGCGGTGTATCCAATGTGGAATTTCACTTATCTTCACAAATATGCGAGTTAGTATTTTTCTTTTTTTTTTTAAATGTAATTGCCATTAAGCATACTTTAAACTATGCAATGACACATCATAAGAATGCACTTTGACCATATCGACCCTCCTTTATCTATGTATTCGGCGCCGACAACAAAAATAAAGTCTGTTCCCATGCTTTTTCTCAAAAATATTTCGACTTATCTTTACGATTGCGATAAAATCGCCCCTTCGGAAACATATTCAAACCTGTTAAAATACGTTATAACGTGCATATCAAAGAAATGATTCATCTCCATAAGGTATAAAATGAAAAGATTTTTTCTTTTGGCAGCATATTTTGTCAGCAATCGAGTAACAATTCAGAATGACAATATAGAACAAATAGAGCATGATGCAAGCCGCTCAATTGAATACGCGAGAAGAGTTTCTTACGTGGGAACAGCGTTGCAACGAGTTTATCGAATTACTGGAGGAACAGAGTCGTTTTAAACGCCCGCGATTATCGATTAGTAAACAATCATTGATCGCTCGTATAGCGCGACTCGAAAATTTGAAAGATTCAGTGCATGAACGTTTCGTACAAGTGGGTGCCGGGTACTTCGATGGCGCGAGATTGATACGATTTTCGAAAGCCGTTTATTGACGGGCGTGGTAATAAACTCTGGACACATCAAACCTCCAATTCCTCGAAGACGCGAGTAAAATTGTACTGGAATGTATGCGAGACGTTATGCAGAGTCAAGAGACAATATTAAGATAAATACAGTGTTTAATGGTGAATTCGTATCGGGTGATAAACGTGCAAATAAAACTGTTAGCACGAGAAACTTTGAACTTTTTCAAACATTCGATTTAAAAGAATGGTATGTGTCGTCAAACCTATCCTGACATCGCTGGAGAAATTCCAGGAGCGCGATAGCGGGTGAACGCTGTCGCGTATATTCAATTTAACAGTAAACATGAACAAGTACAACCCGTTGCACGCGGGATGCTACACAAACTCCCGCGAGAAATTAAAATGAAGAGAGCAATGGTTAATGTGCAATCTCTAGGCAACGCGTGCTTCCATGGTCAGTGGTTGCCGCTCTATATCCAACTAGAAGTAATACAGATTGAGAATTCTCGTATCCGCATTACACGACGGTATTGAATCTTCAAGGCATTCAGCTTCCGATGACGCTGAATCAAATAAAAAAATTCGTAAATCTCAACATTTCCATCAATGTGTACGACATCGAGAAACAAAAAGAAATGACGATCCTTCCATTACGGCTCATCAGTACGAAGAGGGACAAGCATGTCAATCTGCTATATGTGCAAGATCCACAGGATGAAAACGTGGGACATTTCGTGTGGATCAAAGATCTATCCCGCCTCGTCAACTCGCAACTCAGTAAAAAAAAACACAAGAATTATTTTTGCGATAGGTATGTATACATATTTAAAAAAAAATAAAATATTTTCACACAAGAGAGCAACATTATTTTGTAAATACAATAATTTCTTTTTTCAGATGCACTATTTTAGCTCGAGCGCAAAATTGGAGATCCATGCAGTAGACCAGAAAAATTAAATGACTGCGCAATCAGGCTGCCCAGCTAGAGCAACATTATTTTGTAAATACAATAATTTCTTTTTTCAGATGCACTATTTTAGCTCGAGCGCAAAATTGGAGATCCATGCAGTAGACCAGAAAAATTAAATGACTGCGCAATCAGGCTGCCCAGCGAAGACAACAAGTGGTTGAGCTTCAACAACCACTGCAGAAAGGAGCGCATCCCGTTCATGGTCTACGCTGACTTGGAATGCACCCTGGAGAAGAAATGGACATGGAAATATCCAGCTACACATACCAGCACCACAGTATATATAGTAGCGCAACTCTCTGCCGGTACCTTTGATGTTAGTGTTGGCCAAAATGAAGTGCGCATGCGCGAAAGCAAGTTACCTAGCGTAAACCTAGCGTTCCTATAGTTGCTATCTGAACTTCTTTCTCCTTTCATCCTTCTTTCGCTCTTTCAAAACTCACTATATTTATTCGCGTCGCATTTCAATGAATGCGTTGAAGTGAGTAAAAGTTATTGTAGGAGCATATTGGAGCATACAACGCAAATAAACCCACTGCAATGAAATAATCTAAACTTAATAAAAATTAATAAAAATAAATTGTAAATATATTGAAAAATAAGGAAAAAAAATATAGTATATATGCTAGGTATCAAAATGTTATGAGTTGATATAAAAGAAAATTTATATATATGTATATGTCCAAAAAATAAATTTAAAAATACAATAAATAAAAAATTTAATATATTTAGAAAATATTTATTAATACCAATATATGGTATTAGATAATTTTGATAATTATGCTAATTGTAAGACATATAATATACATATAGTACAAAGACACTGCATGTTAAAATATTTAAAAAAAATGTTTTATTAATGAACAGAATCAAGATATTCCCTTTTTTAGTATATTTCCATTTCTTTATTTTATTTTTAATATATTCCATGTTTAGTATAAGGAGAAAATGTATGGTGCATGTAATAGCCACAAGCTTTGTTGGAATTGTTGATTTGTTGTCATCCTTGTTATTCATCCTTATAACATGTAAAAACTTATATAAATAAATAAATTATATATATGTATAATTAAACATTTGGCAAACACAATATTAACACATACATATATACACATGCAAACATATTTATACACATACATATTCTGGACCTTTTGATTCTAAGTCCAGCCTTCCACATGCTCGCACCTATTGCAACCATCTACAAATTATGATATTTTATCAATTAAAATGTACATAAAATTAAAAATTGATTTATATAAAAAGTGATGAAAACAACATACCTCTCATGTTCCTTTGGAAATCGAAAAAAATAACGATCTTCTAAATTAAATTTTTTTGTGTATTCTGCACACCGTTTTTATCATACGTTTTTACTTTTATTCATTTTATATAATTATTTTTTCACAATTTTTTTGGAGTTGATGTACAGCATCTGAAACAGAGCTAAGATCAAAGTGCTCTTCCAAGAGAATTGCTAACCTACAGGGTGAGTCATTTTAATCTATGGACCCGAATATCTTCCAAATTACGGTATCTACAAAAAAATGGTTTAGATAAAAGTTGACCTATAATGCTTGAAACAAGTCAATGAATTGTAAAAGTGTAAATCACTTTGACTAGCTTGACCTTGAGGTCAATTTTCAAGGTTGTTTGAGGCTCATAACGCATTTTTTGATTAGTAAACCCTATTTTTGACCGCAGAACCTGTTTTTTGACAATGGGCTCTTAAACAATGGCACTTTTTACATGAGCATAGGGATTTTTTAGTTTTTCGACCTGACCTTTTGAAGGTCATATCAAGGTCAAAAGCACTTTCATCTTACTTTTAGCGTTACCCGGAAACAACGACGTGGACGTAGTAAGTTCTGTTTCCTTTAGGGTGCTTGATTATCGTGAGTCCCCTTGCTTCTCACGTCGGGGTGCTTGATTATCGTGAGTGCCCTTGCCTCTCACGTCGGGGTGCTTGATTATCGTGAGTCCCCTTGCCTCTCACGTCGGGGTGCTTGATTATCGTGAGTCCCCTTGCCTCTCACGTTTTTCAAGCCCCTTTACATATACGAAAGCTTCATTCTCTTCTATCACAGTCTCCTTAATCAGGTGTTTCGCCATGCTGTACGGGATTATCCCATCGTCCCACCGCCATGATAAGCACTCAACCAGGAATCTGTCGGATCTTGTCAGAAAATTCCATGGCATAGGACATGAAAAAATATAGTAAGTGAGAATGGCTCCTCTTCTCAGCACCGCCACTTCCTTGACGATAAATTTTTTGCCGACGACGAATCCTTGCAGATCCACAAACGTCGGTATGACCATGACGAACACTTATTCAAAACTGCACTCATATCAGCGGCAATCTCTCTTAAATTCTTCCTGATGTTGCAATTTACATGATCTTGCGCACTACGTTCGACAACAGACTGTATTCGATTACACGATCGTGTATGATGAGACAGTATGCGGTAGTATTGGCAGGCACATTCTCCTTGCAGTCAAATTCTATGCATACATCCACGGTTGCGCTCTTGACGGATTCGTTTTGTCGCGAACAATCAATAACCGCGAAAGGCCTTTTCTCGATAAACGAGAGCACGTTGAGAAGCGTTTCGAAGCGGTCAATTCCGTAATAGGCTTTACGAAAATGCGCGTACATATCAAACAAAACGGCGTATCTCTTTCTGCCAAAATCCTGATTCAAATCATCGTACGGATAAAACTCTGAATTTAGATAAAGTTTCACGTTGTTCAAATTACAATCATCGAACAGGCTACCATCTCGAGACATGATATCCTTTCCAATGGTCTGCAGAGCAAAGATAACATATCGCGGCTTCTCAAGCTGAATCGCCGTTTTGACGGCCCATGAATGTTTGGTAGTACTCTGTAACGGAAGGTACTCGTACAAATCCCACGAGTGAAAACTCATGCTCAGATAACGACCGCTTTCCAATGCTCGCAGCATTGACAATTTATTCATCTCGTTTAACGTAACGTGAGGCATCCGCCACTGCACTTTGAATAATTCAACCTCAAGCTCCGTTGCAGGATTTCCCACCAAGCAATTGTAATCGTTGCGCGCTCTTACCAAAATCAATTCGTGACGAGCGTTAACGATCACGCGTTTGTAATCTTCGCAAAAGTCCAACAACATGTTGAGCGGTACGCAAAAATTAAAGTATCCTTCCTCCATGTCGGATCTAGTGTTCCATCCAGCGTTCAGCGCAATCAATGATTTGTCGTACGTCAGCGACACATAGTTCTTGAGGGTATTGGTAACTCTGACGTTTCTGTTGGGATCAATCTCCACGCCATTCACTTCGTATCGAATTTCATCAAACATGACCGCCACACAATTATTTCCAAGCGTTGTTGGCGTATCATCATCTTTCTTCTTTAGCGTCAATTTTCTTTCTACGTAGAGAAAACTGTCGCACGGCAACGTGTATAAATCCTGCTGCTGTATGGGTATCTGTATCTCATCGCTGTGAGCAAACGTTGTATTGGCGTATGGATTGCATGTATGAGTCTCGATTTTGACGATGCGGTCGTCAAAGATCGTCTCGCTGGCAATGTTTAAAATATCAGTCATTTCGTACGATGAATCCCAACGACTTTACAAATGCTATGCTGGAAGCAGTGAGTTTCTTTCTAGTTTCTCCGGTAATAGGCGTATCTCTCATCCGTTTCAACTGTTTGTTCAACACAAGCATCTCACGTTAGCGCCGTCGTACATGCAATCTAACGGTAATCTCCTCTCCACGAAAATCGAGCACTCGACCGTCTTGATCCACCACGTGAATCGTCAGATCTGTAATGCTCCGTACGACTATCGGAAGGTAAATGATTTGCGTAGGCCTTTTCGATATCTTATATCCTAGCGGCACGCTCGGTGAAAACTCATGTATCGTATGCACGCACCTGTCATTGCTGTACGCACCCGCAGTCACGTTACACTCGATACGAATAATGTTTGCGCTGATGATGTTTATAGGCACGTCCGATTCGTGCCACTGTCGCGACTCAAGCACGCGATTCGACGAAAATCCCAATAGCGATCCAATGTTGCAAGGTTTTATAAAATCTATCCGATAGGCGCATTTAATCTCACTTCTCATTGTACTGTTGTTGGCGCGAATCACCAGTGGGAACTCGCCGTCTTCATCCACCTTGTGCTTCGCATCGTGAGAACGTAAAATTTCACGTTTCAGATACCGCTCTATATCACGCAGTTCGTACGATCCTTCGAAAATGACAATTTCGTCATCGTCAAAGTAAAACTTATTGTTTGTCGAATTTACATTCGCTAGAATATGATATGTTTCAAAGTCTGTCTGGCCGAGCTCGTAATCGGTATCGTTCAAATCCACAGCTGGAAAGTAGCTCACAGCAAGGACGCTACTTTTGCCGGTCAGCGTAAATGTCAACGACATGTTTAAAAGAATATTGAGTTAAACGGTACAATGTCGATCCTTAAATTGCTTGTCAACCGTTCGTAGAAACTGTAGACACAGCTGTTCACAATTACTCTGATTGTAGCGTTGATAGTGCGTGCGATTGTACTCGATTACATTGTTTACTAGATATCGTTCGAATTCCTTCGGCGGTCGAAGATTGCCGAAACTGTCGAAATATATGGCACGAATTCCCCTTTTCGCATATGCCACCCAATGCGTACCGGGTTCTTCGGCATTATCCAAATTTACGATACCGCTCTCGTTTCGATGTACTCCTTCCACCGGTAATGTAGTACGCATAAAGATACCTCTAAAATATGGAATGCGCATACGATTTGCAAGTTGCTGCAGTTGCACGTTGGTAGTTATACCCTTTGGCAGTTTTAACGTCTCGTCGACGTTTTTTTTTCTACGCGCGACACCTGGTCCGCGCTTGTAGGGAGCGAGATAAACGCCGCGACCTTCCATGACGCGATTATGACGTTGCAGTTCTTGCAGCTGATGCTGCGCCGCTTTGCTATCGTTTACGGCCTTGGCGACTCCCGCCGCTCCGCCGACCAACGACCCGAGAACGCCCAGTAGCGGAAGAATAGGTAGGATGACGCCGCGTTTCGCTATCGGAAGTATCCGCTTGCTCTTCCTCTTCCTAGTTTTCAAGCCCATACCAAATTTTGTCTTAGCCTTCATAGCTGCCCAAACGGCCGTGGCTGCGGCTCTCTCTTCAAGAGTTGAGTCCATTGCGACAATGCGTTTCCGCGCCTGCTCAGCGAGTAATTTGTCAGCTGTGTTTCGTTTCGCGAGTTCGTTGCTATGCGAATACGCTATATCGTGCTCGCGACACACTGCGTCCAACCGATTGATACCTCGATCACCTCTCGCCAATCGTTTCTCTAAACGCGTTCCCGGACCGCTAAACTGGTATCCGGGAATATGCAGTTCGAAAGGAAGCGCGTTTATCGCGCGATTTAACAAGCCTCTCGACGGCATTCGCCGCAATTCTTTATCAGAGACGACCGGTCCGTCGATATGTGTTTGATGACTCGGCAAATTGTAGTGCTTCAAGCACCGACGGTATCGTTGTACCTCCGAATCGGCTCGTATATGATCAGGTAGTCTATCTCATAACAGATCTATAAAATTTTCAAACTCTCGCAGCAGTATAATTTTCGGTATATATTCCAACTCTTTTGATGTTAAACTGTGTAGATCGTTCGATATGATGAGAAACATTTTGATTACTGAGCGATTTCACTCTACGAATATCTATAAATAGACCCGCTCGCGATATCGTTTTCAGTATTTTGTGGAAGGAGAAAACATGCGGTTCGTGCGCCAATCGCGGATGATCAAAGTGAATCTCGATGGAAAAGTGCGAACCGATAAAGAGATGCGCAAGCATGGTAGCATGCTGCCAACCTCTATACGCGCTATCGTTTGCGGACCGTCAAACTGTGGAAAGACGAACGTGCTGATAAGCCTCTTGGAAAGTCCACATGGCGTACGATTCGAGAACGTGTACGTATACTTGAAATCGCTGCAACAGCCGAAATATCAATATCTGACGAATTTGCTAACGCCGATCGAAGAAATTGAATATTTTACATTCTCTAATAATAGCGATGTCATTCCACCGAACGAGGCGCTTCTGAATTCCATCTTTATCTTTGATAACGTGGCATGCGACAAGCAAAACGCGATAAGAGAGTATTTTGCAATAGGTCGACACGCGCACGTTGACTGCTTCTATCTCTGTCAGACGTATGCAAAGATACCGAAGCATCTTATACGTGACAATGCGAATCTGTTGATACTGTTCAAACAGGATGGTACTAATCTGAAACGAGTGTACAACGATCACGTAAATACTGACATGTCCTACGAAGATTTCAACGATTTGTGTCGTAAATGTTGGCAGCAAAAGTATGGATTTCTTGTGATTGATAAGGATAGTGCGCTTAACAATGGACGATATAGAAAAGGTTTTAATGACTTTTCGGTACCGTGACGTAATCAGTTGTTATCGATACGCTGACTAAGCAACATGGACGGCATCATAGATCGTGAGAGGATAGCAAGAGATTGCCAAAACGAGTGATTCGATTCGTAAAAAGTACTACGCCCTGAAAAGCGGTAAAATGGAGGAGGACATCGCGTTGGAGAGACACTTTAAATCTATTATCGAACCGCTGAAACAGATTGTCGAAAACACCGTTGAATCCGCCAAAGATCCTATCAAGAACGAAATGTTCTTTTCGGAAGAGGACGAGGAACTAAAACCGAAGCGAAAACGACCGAGCGCTTCGCACGACAATTCTATACGGGCTTCCACACCTGTGAAATCAATGTTAAGTCGATCGAAAACTGTACCATCTACTTTGAATGAAATGTCTGAAACAGTCAGGCCGCGCGATTTATCATAGGAGTATTCACATACCCCTTCCGTCGAAGAAGTATTCGAAGTCGTCGATGAACCGCTCGTAACATCCATTCGACACCTGCTTCAAACGTCCGAGGGGCAAGAAAAGTTACAAACAAGCTATGGTCCGCTGGGACAAAAATATCTGAAAGCAGTCTTGAGCGGTAAGAAAGCTGTAAACATTGACATTGTGTATGAAGCTTATTTTAGCAACAAGGGAACGATGCTCGGCGACAAACGTATCGCCTTGGACAAAAACGATGATATAATTATAAATGGGAAAAGATACAAGGGAACACCGGGTCTGTATAATTTTCATGAAATATCCTAATGAAAATATATGCACGGATGATGACATGCACACCTACAAGAGCATTCTGTTGACAACAAATGCGTATAGACGCGGTAATAGCGCGGATAGTCAAGTACTAGGTAACAAGGGGTACAAGTATAAGAATATAATCGCGCCATTGGTGTTGAGTAAAAAAGTTGGAACGGGTATAAACAAAAGATCCGATATACCGTGCGCCATGACACTAAACGATAATAAGATCGACTACATTCATTGGGACGATCCCAACGAACTTGTGGATCGTCTCCGTTTGCTCGAGGCTTCGCGCCAGGCGGGCCATAATGGTCACGACAACGAGATTCTGTCGATTATCGAGGAACTTTGAGAAGCCGGTGTCGTTATAAATTGACGTAGCGCGATCAGTCAGTCGATATCGAAATGCCGATCAGCAAGTTTGGACTATCGCTCGGAGGAGGAAACGTATTGTACTATCAGTGGAGCGGATCGCTCAGAAATTACGTACGCGATAACGCTCTTTGCGTAGTCGTAGTCGGCTTTGATGCAAAGTCACGCAAGATTCGACGTTTAGCGCTACCAGTGGATGATGCTGATGCAGCATCAAACGATACGTGCAGCAGAGTGATCAAGATTTGAAAGATCGACTCGACGAAATCGAGAGGAAGATGACATCATTCCATAATAAGGTGCAGGTTATGCTAAATGAATTTGAAAAGGCGATTCGAGAAGTGAATAATCGCAATGACTGAGAAACGATAGCTGGTTTGATGAATTACACGCTGATTTGATGGATTACACGCTGCAGCGAGAAGAAATTTTCCAAGAAGACGCGTCATAGTACACGGATACTATGACCTGTGGCAGGCGGATGTAGTTGAGATGCGTCAGTAGAATAGCTAGGCCGGTTCTAATCCACTATGTGTTAGTGCGTATACGTATATGCGGGGTATGTGTGTGTGTGTGTGAGGGAGTCAGGGAGGGGGAAGTATACACAGACGTTAGGATGACGTCACAGGGAGGGATGACCATGAGGGGGGGCAAGCGCGTCACCGGGGGAAGGGGGTTTTGTTCCTTCTTTCTCCAATCTATTATCTTCTTTTTCCCACCCGTTGTAGAATGCAGTTCTCTCTGTCCCACCCGTTGCGGTCCTATTATTTGCGCT